TTTTTTTTTCCCCCCCCCCCCCCCCCAGAAAAGAGCTCAGTGGTATATTGTAAATGAAGATTACCTTTAAACAAACATTAACAAATGGTGCGAGTTTTGATACCCCAAAATTCAAGGTTCTGTAACCAGTAAATAATGGTACGGCGCCATACAATAAATAAACCTATACGCTCTGTAGAGCTTTTACTACGACACCGCTTGGGGAACAAATGTTGTTTTCGTGGTGGAGAAAAACCCACGGGGGAAAACCACTCTGCCGTCGAAGGGATAACAACTAACCCTATCAGACATCACTTCTCTTTTTCCGCAACCGTTGGGGTTTAGTTTAAACATATTTATTGCCAAAATTAGACAAGGGATTAGGCACAAGTTATAACAACTTATCAACGCCTTCTCCCAATATACATTTGAAATGACATTACAATAATGACAATAAATATATACGATTGTTATTACAATTTGAATTCAAAATCCCTTGCTGGATTTAATAAAGTTTTGCACAGATCTAAAAATGTTTGAGTTAAGGTCCACGGAAAATTGTGAATTGCCGAACAAAAGAATTTCTAAATTTAACGCAACATTCAAATTAATCAAATTTTGAACCAAAATACGTCTTTCGTTTGTAAAAAGTTGACATTCCATAAAATAGTGAAAGACATTCTCACAAGGATGACCACAATTACAAGATGCACTCTCAACAAGGTTAACTCTAAAAAGGTCATAATTAACACTAGAATATAAAATATTTTATGTAAATGCAGCCAGCCAAACAAAGTAAACATTTTACTGTAACATACGGCCATTTCGTCCATTTGGACTCATCGGTGGTATTAAAGGTCAGCTGAATGATAAATCCGTGTCTACAGTGTTCCGAATGTCTAAAGTATTCCTAACCATATGTAGAATACAGCGAAAATGGAAAGATGCATGTAAGACTCTTTATAACGTACAATTGTACAACTTCCGGCTACAGTGGATATACCTTATACCGTTTCACACGTTATTTATATAGGCTTAAAATTTCCGCTTTTTTGACCCAAACTTAAAAAAAAATATTTACACGGATTATAAATTCGTTATCTAGACATGTGAAGGAACTAATCTTTTTGCGGTGTTTTGGCACAAAGACGGAAATGTCTGCATATAAAAGCTAAATAAAAAGGTTTTATGACAACATTTTGAGCAACAACAAGTAATTGCATTTTGTTAAACGTATCATCAACAAAACTAGTACATGTGTGATATAGTTTATCTAAAACATCATTACTCTTTATGTATGTGAATCGTAAACAACCACATGTGCGCTATTTCATGGCCACATTACGGTTATGAAGTTTACTATCGCGGCTCATTTTACTCTTGTCATATTATTCTGCGGATCATATTTTCGCGACCATGTTATTGACCCGCGGAATCGCGAAAATAGCATCCCCGCGAAAATATCCTGTTATACGGTACTTAAACTTGTGTTTCGTGCAAACCCTGTCAGACTTAATTCCAGCTACAAGGCTACGGCCAACCTTGGAATATAGACCTTGAACTTTGTTCACAATGGTATGGCATCCACGAATAGGTCATTATTAGAGAGTCGTCGCTTATTTTGGCATAAACATTCGTAACGTCCTCCCGATACCTCAAGTGTGCATAATAATTCATTTGATTAGAACATATTTACATATAAGGAAATTACATATATCAGGTGTGACAATATAAACGAAATGAGTGTAAGTGTGGCAACATTCATTCAGCGGCTTTTGTAGTCTGGGGGACATTTAAATCAATCTGCGTCAGGTGAGGCTGTTGTTTCGTCCGCGTCGAAAGGAATTAAAAAAAACACACGCTGCATGCCTCCCTAGAACACATCAGCCCATTGTCGCTAGAAGTGTGTGCTAACTACACAAAATTTAAAAAAGGACAACACTGCAATGACGTAAATCGATGATTGGGAACTTATTGCGAGGTCGACGGCAGAGAACAACAGTGTATTTTAGAGCTGTACTTGAGACAACTCGGACGCTGGCTAGGTATCGATATGCTTGTACGATCGGGCAATTACCGGTACTATTCAATACTCAGGAACACGCGCTGATTACAGAATACAAATCGGATCAGTGAATGGAATGATGTTTGTGTGTGCACAAGCAAATTTCTGTCACCAATAACGACAGAAAAAAGCTTGCATTCTAACCCTACGCCCCTTTTGATCCATTTCGTACACGTACTACGCTACTGACATACCTGCCCGATCAAAGTAAAGGTATATGTACAGGATCACTTTGTTAGTTTGTGTTCGTTGTCCTATTGGCAGCCATGGTCATGTAAGGACTTGACGTGTTTTGGTGGTGGAGGAAAGCCGGAGTACCCGGGGAAAAACAACAGACCTGCGACCAGTACCTGGCGACTGTCCCAGGAGGGCCTCGAACCCGCGACCCAGTGGATAATTGGCACCATACATTGTAGTAGAGACGTACACAGGCATTTTTGACACACAGAATAGCCTTACATACTAACGACACGGCCAGTTACGCGATTGGATGTACAACGTTTCGCATTGTTTTGAAAAAAAAGTCTAGCTGTATGTCAGTTAGGTTTCGAGGGTTCTGACTGCACTTTTTAGTTTAGGATCGATTTTATACTTTAGATACTCCATAGGAGGCGCGGTGTCGCTCAGGTTAATTCCCCGCGTGCGCTCTTCAATTTCAATAGTGTGTCAACGATTTCTGATTTCCTTTTTCAACATCAAGGTCAAATTACTAAACAAATCGCGCTAATTCTAATACCTAGCATTAATATGTATCAACCACGTTTACTTTTCTCGCCATACGTCAATATCACAACTTAAGAACAGAGCTAATTAAGAATGTTTATGTTACAGGCAGTTGAAGTATAGTTACAACACAGCCGATTCTCTTCTCTTGCTCTGTCCTTGCAGTGAAAATCCAATAACTCTTGGAGAAAAAGTTAACTGTCAAGGTCACATTAATGAACATGAGAGAAAAACGCTCGGTAAGTAAAGGTCATGGTGATAGCCGTTTCCGATAAAAAAATTTTTTTTTTTTTAGAAATTGGTAAATAATTTCCTAATTAAAGAGAAGAAACACGAATGTCATAGAGGTTTTTAACTGGAGGTCAAGAG